CCCATATAGGGATGTTCAGTTAGCTCACTGGGTCGAGTGTGGTGCTGACAACACCAAGTCAAGGGTCAAGATCCCCTTACCGGTCATCTTTAAAAAAAAAAACAAACTACAAAACATTAATAAAAAGACAATCCAATGGAAAAATGGACAAAAGACATAAAGAGACACTTCATGAGCTGGCTGGTTAGCTAACTTCATTAGAGCATGGTGCTGATAACACCAAGGTCAAGGGTTTGCATCCCCATACCAGCCAACAGCCAAAAAAAAGAAAGAAAGAAAAGAGATACTTCAAAAAAAAATGATAATACAAAGATCTGTTAAAAAATATGAAAGATGGGGAGTTCCAGTCAAGATGGCAGAATAGATGGTTCCCAGCGTCATTCTCTTCCACAAATCAACCAATTTACAACAAAAATGTACCATCAGCCAAGCTGGGGCCACTGGAGCTCAGGAGAAGAGGAGGAGAGACCTACAGAGTTCACGAAGGCAGGAGAAACTACAATGAGAGAAAGAAAAAACTGCTCTGAGCGTTTTGGGCCACAGCTGTTTTAAGGCTGTTTTAAGCCTCGAGCTGCTGAGAGCATGGAGCTGGAGCCGGCAGAAGCCACAGCTGTGCCGTTCAGATGGAGTTACTTGGAAGCAGCAGGAGAGAAGAGGGCCTTGGCAGCCCCCAGGACAGCAAGACCACTAATAAGGTTCCCATCGACCCACACAGGAGCTAGGAGCCAGAACGGAAGAAAGGGAGCTATTCAGAGGCCGGTGAGTCATCACAAGGGACCAGTGCAGGGACTGTCCCATGGGAAGTGTTTGGAGCATGGGCAGTGGGCGAGATGGGAACACCAGGAGAACACTGGGACACAGCAAGGACAGCCGACCTGCCCCCCAATCAGTACAGGACCATTCAGAGAATGGTCAGGAATGCAGAATTGCATGGAGTGCAGTTTGATGAAAAAACTCAGGCCCAGATCAGAGATTTTACAGAACACAGATCCACTGGGTCTCTGGAGAGCCAGAAGTACCTATAAAGTCAACCATTAAACCCTGAGCTGCACAAAAAGCCTTTCCTAGGGAAACAGCAGCAGAGCAGCTATTTAAACAACCACACAGCTCAAGTACTGGTTCCCACAGGAAATTCCCTATATTAGAAACAAAGAACAAAAAATCAGTACTGGCCCAGGCACACCACCAGCACCTTGGGGCCTGCCTGGGAACCAGAGGCTTGGATCTGGGACCGGACCCCACTCCTATTTCCAGGCAAACTGCACCAGTGCCTCGGGGCCAGCCCAGGGACCCAAGGCACGGAGAAGAGGACTGGACCCCCCACCCAACAACAAGGCACACCGCACCAGTACCTCAGGGCCCACCCAGGGACCTGAGGCATGGAGAAAGGGACCAGACCTCTCTCTCACAACCAGGCACACCAAGCCAGCACCTCGGATCCTGCCCAGTGACCTGAGGTATGGAGCTGGGGACCAGACCCTCCGCCCACAACCAGGCACACCACACCTGCACCTCAGGGCCCACCCAGGGACCTGAGGCATGGAGAAGGGGCCCAGACCTCTCTCCCACAACCAGGTACATGGCGCCAGAACCTTGGGACCTGCCCAGGGACCCGAGGAATGGAGAAGAGGACTGGACCCTCCTCCCACAACCATTCACACTGCGCCAGTGCCTCGAGGCCCAACCAGAGACCCAGAGCATGGAGAAGGGGACCAGACCCCCCTCCCACAACCAGGCACACGGAGACAGCTCCTTGGGTCCTGCCCGGTGACCCGAGGCATGGAGAAGGGCACCGGACACCCCTCCCACAACCAGGCACATGGTGCCAGCACCTTGGGGCCTGCCCAGGGACCAGAGGCATGGATAAGGGGACCGGACACACCCCACAACCTGGCATAGTGCCAGTGCCAACGAGCATACCAAAAACAGCACCTCCATGTGGGTGGCCCACCATAGCCAACACAATAACCATGGCTGCCGCAAAAGCAGCTAGACGCAAGAACCATCAGCAGATGGTCTGCCAACCATTGGAGTGCATTCACACAAGAGTCACCAGCAGAGACAAAGAAAAGAAGAGGATGTCTCTTTCCACAAAAGCCATTTCAGAGTGACAGAAGAAGCATCTGCTCTATGATAATACTGGGGGACCTGATCGCATCCCTCAGCATTGGACAGTTCATCTAGGCAACAAATTAACAGAGTAACCATTATTCTTTCAGAAGGAGAGAAGAAATCTAGGGTAATTAGAGGGGAGAGGGAATGGGAGAGAGTGAGAGATTGGACAAGGGGCATAAAGAATAATTATGATTTGTAACAATATATATGCTAGTAATATTGATTTGATCAACATATCTCAATGTTCAACCCCAAAAATATGTATAATGGATTTTGATTCAATAAATAAACTAAAAAAAAAGAAAAAGAAGTAACAAAAGGACAAGAAATTAGTATTAGTTCTAGTGCAGTTTAAGTGGTGGGAACAGCAAATAATACAACACAGAACTGAAAGAAAAAACAAAAACCCACAGATCAGAGACAAATTTCTGATATTAACCAGTAAAGATCTACCACCAAAGAACACCTATAAAACCTAGAAGGATCAGAAGCCCCCTGGGCTCCCAAGCCAGGGTGGGGAGGTGAGGTGCTGTTGAGGGCCTCAGCCACACACACCCAGCATCCACATCTAGCCCAGCCATGACCACCAAGCCACTGCTGGGAGCTTCCAGGGCTTCCCTGCTAGAATGAGGAGGGTGCCACAGGCCTCATCCATGTCCCCCTCCCTCCTCCTCCCACCATATTATCTTCCCATCTCCCCCTCCCCTTCTCAATTGCTTCACAACAACATCTTAGGATGTAAAAAAAATGGTAATTATAATAAATAAATAAACTTAATGTTTAAAAATATATATATGAAAGATGGCGCTGACCAATTAGCTCACTTATAAAGTGTGGTGCTGATAACACCAAGGCCAAGGGTTCAGATGCCCTTACCAGCCAGCCACCAAAATAAAAAATGAAAGATCATCATCACTAGCAGTCAGGGAGATGAAAATCAAGACCACAATGAGTTGTCGTTTTATCCTCACTAGGTTGGCAGAAATGAAGAAGTCTTCATGATACCAAGGGCTGGAGAGGATGTGGTCAGCAGGAATTCTTACACTGCAGGAGGGAGTACAGATTCATATAACCACTCTGAAAGACAATTTGGCATTATTCTGTAAAGTATTCTAAAGAAACTTTTGTACAGGTGCAACAGAAGAGATGTACAAAAAACTCCACTGTAAAATCCCACTGCTGATAAAAGAAAAATAAGTGGAAGTAAGGCAAATGTCCACCAACAGGAAAACAGACAGATTGTGGTAAGTTCACAGAATATTACACAATCCTGAAAAATGAATGAATAGCCATATGAAACAACTTTTATGTACCTCAGAAACAAAATGTTTTGTTAAAAAAGTGAGTCCCAGAAGTCTTACAGTGCTATAAAACTATTTTCTACAAGGCTCAATAACAAGCAAAACTCAACATATTCTGGTCAGTAATCTATATGTACAGTGTAAAAGAAAACTGTGGGGCCGGCCTGGTGGCGCACTGGATAAGTGCACCGCTTGGGAAGCGCGGCGGCGCTCCCGCCCGAGGGTTCGGATCCCACATACAGACCGGTTCCTGCTCACTGGCTGAGCGAGGTGCGGGAGCAACACCGAGGGTTGCAATCCCGTTGCCAGTCCCTGGTCCGGTACGGGGGCAACACTGAGGGTTGCGATCCGTTGCCGGACACGGAAAAAGACAAAAAAAGAAAACTGTGGGGCCGGCCTGGTGGCGCACTGGATAAGTGCACCGCTTGGGAAGCGCGGCGGCGCTCCCGCCCGAGGGTTCGGATCCCACATACAGACCGGTTCCTGCTCACTGGCTGAGCGAGGTGCGGGAGCAACACCGAGGGTTGCAATCCCGTTGCCAGTCCCTGGTCCGGTACGGGGGCAACACTGAGGGCTGCGATCCGTTGCCGGACATGAAAAAAAAAAAGACAAAAGACAAAAAAAATAAAAGAAAAGAAAACTGTGACAGAGGGAAAAAAAAGGAAACAATGAAAGCAGAATTCAGGATAACAGTTACCTCTGAGGAGGACACAGAGGGGTGGGTTTGAGAAGGCGCACACAGGTATGTGGCAAGGCATTAGTGATATTCCAACTCTTAAACTGAGTGGCTTCATGTATGTTCATTTTGTTGTTACGCATCATGATTTCTATATACATTAAGTACTTTCTTTGTATGTGTTTAAATATTAATTACCTCTTTTAATATAATAAACAAGGGGAGGATTATATGAATTTTGCATTCTACTCCACAACCTACAAGAAAACCTTCCTTTAATTTTGGTGCTCCACGAAGATGCACCACGTTTCATCCTGTGGCTGCCCAGACCCCACCTGTGAGAGTCAGGCTTGAAGGATTCACGGTCCTTTGGTGTCCTGACTGTTGCCTTCTTTTCCATATCTATCACCTGCCGGCTTGTCCAACCAGTCTCTTAGCTACTCAATTCCTCGAATGTGCCTCCACATGCTATCAACACATACTCTTCCTACCGATAGGAAACGTCCCCTTCTCTTCCTTATCAGCTCATGACCATTGCACTCTTTCACAGGAGCCTTTCAAGAGGCTGCCAGAGTTTGGCTCTTTCTCCTCACTCTTCTCAAGGGCTGTGCCCACCCCTCTCTTTTGGCACTTATCAGACATGTGGAATCGCTCATTTATGTGCTGGTTCTTCCCCAGACTCTGAGTCCCCAGAAGCCAGTACTGTTTTCTATTCACCTCCTCTGGCCCCCATGCCCAACACAAAGTGGGATCTTACCAAAGCTTTTCTTAATGAGAAAGTAAAATAGCCCCAGAGCAGTAGAAACTGAGGAAGGACTGTCATGGATGGAGATGGAAGGGGAAAAGGGAACTTAACAGGGAAGTCTCTCCTTTAGGCTATGTGCTCCTCTCAGTCAAAACTACCACTATTTGAAGCAAAAAAGAAAAAAAAGTTGCCACGCTTTATTTAGATTGTAAGGTTACAGATAACATATCTATCCTTGTGTCCCATCCCCCTAGTGCAGTCCCCTGAGCAGGCTCAGCTACCCTTTCTCTCCAGTCTCACTTCTTATCCTCCTCCTTCTTGTCCTTCTTGCCATCCTTGGTAGCTTGGGAGGCCAGGGAGCCCATGGCATTTCGAATGGCTTCATTGTTGGGATCCACACCTGGAAGGTTCTCTAGGACACTCTGAAGGAACTCGGGGTCCTGCATCACATCATAATCATCCTCCTCCTGAAAAAGGCAGTGTTAGCTGGGGACAGGGTGTGGGCTGGTAGGGAGCAAGCGGGTGTGAGACAGGAGCAAGCTACTGCCTGTGCCCCTCTCTCCTCCTGACTGCAGGATGCAGGACACCTCCGGCCAAGGGAAGGAAAGGACAACTCAGCAAAATAATACACAGTGCCTATACATGGTATGAACACAAACATCTTTTACTGGCCAAATAAAGGAGAAACCTGAGAACTGCTAATGGAGCTCAGAGGGTAAAAACAGATGCCATCACTTTCAGATTTCCTGCCCTCAGACACCCAGCCCTCCTTTTTCTTTTTCTCAGACACTCATTTTACCCTTCTCGGAAGATGATGTCCTAGAGAACTGTCCAGATTGCTCCTAATATCAAGGAAGGAAAATTATAGAACCACTAGGACATTTCTCCAACTCTGACCACTAGCTTCTGTTACCTTTGCAAGGTTTACATATGAGAAATGCATATCCATGTGTTTCCTTCTGCTCCTCAAAGGACTCCTCTATGAAACCCTGAGAAGGAATAGTACCAGCCCTAGAGGGTTGAAGATCTGAATACAAGGGGATTTAAGCCTAATGAGGGCAGGGGTCACTGTCGGCTCTCACCTTAGCTGGCTCAGATGTGTCCATGGCTGAGCTGGCATCAATGTCTGCTGATTCTGCCTGGCCAAACTCTGAAGAAAAGAGGTCAGCCTGTTCAGTTCCGCTTCCCCACCCCCACCTCTGCCTAGCACTACCACTCAGGCCCTGGCCCACCTGCTCCCTGCAGGGACATCTGCATGGCATAAGCAATCTGCTCTTCCTCAGTCATACTGCTTAGGTCAGGGAGCCCGGTGCGGCCAAACTCTTGCTGGCTGATGGTCATCTTCAGCAGGGCATCGTCTGAGTCTGGGAAAAGGAAGAAAGGAGCAGGGTAAAACTGGTGCCAAATTCCACACACAGCTACCCCCACAAGCATTCCTTCCACCCAGCTCTTTCATATATTCCTACCCTGCCAGACCTCCCCACTCCCACTGCAGTACCAACACCCAACGTTCAATGTTTAGCATCCTGCAGCCCTAGGACTTTTGATTCCACCTCTTTCACCTTCAGTCCCAGTTGCAGCAATCCCAGCTTCAGCAGCAGAGGCTGCAGCTGCCCTCCGTGCTTCCTCCTCCTGCCGTTGCCGCTGCTCTTCCATAGAAACACGAAGGGCCTGGCGAAGAGCGGGGCAAGATCAGATGTTTCCCCACCCTTACTCCTACAGGGCACTGAGGAAGTCAGCTGAGGGTGTGGGAAAGGATCATAAAGGGGCCAGCTTCTGGTTTATCACATGGAGAAGAAGCTGGAGGGATAAGAAGTGGTATGGGAAAAAAGAAAGACTTGGGAGAAGTCTGGGGTTTAATCAGGAGAAACAAACAAGGCAGAGCCTGATATTGGATCCCTAGAGATCAGACAGAATTATAGGGAAGAGTGAAAGGGGGTCTTGCAAAATGAGCAAGAGTTACGGGAGTGTTTAGAACTGTCTGTCCAGCCTACAGAAGCTCTATGGTGTCTGTGTTAGTAGAGGAGAACAAAAAAGGACCCTTGGGTTCTACTGGGGTCAACATTTGCTCACCAGAGCCAGCTCAGGATCAGCACTGGGATCCACTCCAAATTCAAAGTCACTGGCACCAAGACCCAGCATGGCACCACCTTCACCAGCCAGGATGGGAGAACTGATGAGAGCATCAGCCAAGCTGGGCCCAGGAGGCACTGTCACCAGATGAGAACCAGTTCCATCTTTGCCATTTAATGTGTTTACAAAGGCTGTCAGCTTTTCTGTGTTCACCTCCTGGGGAGGGAAGAACACAGGACACTCTCCTTCATGCCTTACTCCCCATTCTCTGCGATTTCAGTTCTTGTAGCTACTCTCCCACTATGAAGGCAATCCCCTGGGGAAGGACTATTCTGTTTATAACCAAATCAAGTCAATGCCCCCCAACTCGTCCCTACTCACCTCTTCCCCAAAATTGATGATGTCAACATTTACTTTCTCCTTCTTGAGGCGTTTAGCCAGTTTTACCAGCTGTAAAGAATGGGAGAAAAATCAGGAAAAGCATACAGAAATCTGTTGACCTCCCCAAGGTCCTCCATCAGAAATACCGAATTCTGCATATCCACCTTTCCCCAAAGTGATGAGCCAATTCCTCTGCCAGCTCTCCTAAGGGCTGACAGAGGGTCATGGGTGGCCCATGTTCCCCAGCTACGCTTGGACTCACATCCTTCTCATTGTCCTCCACGGGGCTTCCCACAAAAGCGATGATGCGCATCTTGTGATTCTTGCCCTGTCGGTGCTTCAGAGCCAGCTTGGAAAGGAAGAGGGAGTTCTCACAGTCACCCAGAGGAGTCACCTAGTACTTTCCTCATCACTCTGTTCCCCTTTTTCCTTGCTGTTTCTACGTACCTCAAGTCTACCATCATGCTCACACAAGATTTAAACCCCCTGACCCTGCGCTCCCTTCTTGCTGTGTCTCTCTGTGGATAAAAAAGGGGGGTTCACTCTCAATTCTAGGCACTTTTTCCTTCACAATTCTCATCAATCCTGGGATTCATCCCAACACATCCTTTCTACTGCAAGTTAGCTTTCTTTAGGTCCCATCTCTTCCCTTGCTCTGGTTCTAGCTCAAGATTCCAGGGAAGAAACAAAAGATGTTGGAGGCAGAAACTCAGAGCAGGGAGAAACATTTAAGAGGACCCAGTAGGACTCACATGGGCCACGCGGATACCAGTGCAGAAGGTGATCTTGCCCTTGGGTTGGACAGTGTGGAGCTTGGACAGGATGCGGCCAGTGTCAGGGGTGAGTGTGGTCAGCACTTCACAGTCACTGGGATGTGGGGAAAGCATTTCAGTGAGTTCAGGTCTGTACAAGCACCTCCAAACTGACTGACTCATCTTTTCTTTGGAGACCTTGATAATAACTGTAATCCATATTCTTCTTAATCAGACATCTAGTGTTTAGTAGATACCAAGCACAAAAATGATAAGTGATTGGTTTTACAAGAAATCTGCCCTCCACCTTCCAATTTTGTCCCCCTCTTTCCTCTCATCTTATTGCTCTCAAGGCCCTAAGAATCCTCCAGAATAATTAGATACTACTTTGTATCTTTCCCACCCTCCCCATTTCTAGACCCATTTTTCAGTTAAAAGCATGTATATTGGGGTGGGAGGATACTTATTTGAGCATTATCAGTTCCTAAAACAAATCACTTTTGGGGTAACAGGACGTGTGATATATGGCCAGGGGCTAGGCTCTGATTCAAAATCACTTTTCACTGATTTTAAAATACACTGTGAAATTTCATCCCAGTAGATTTAGCTTCAGAAGTATATTAAGTTCAGGTTAATATTAAAAACAAACTGCTATTTACATTTATACTATACTGTGAAGAAGGTAGTCTAGGAAGGCGATGGACAAAAGCAGCCACACAGAATCTACAAATGAGTATCATGTAACATGTAACTGGGCTTATGTGTGGGAAAACAACGACCCGCCTACAAAGTCCCTTCCTCCTCTGTCCCACATACTTGGCCAGTGTGATGAGGCCCACGTTGTTCTCAGGGTTGCTGCGGGTCTTTGAGTGACACACTATGTTGACAGCGTCCTGTTGGGCCTGCAGCCGGGTAGGTAGGAAGTCCCCATTGCGCATGTACTCACTGTTGTCCACACTGTCACATTAGGGGTAAAGGAGAGAGAAGAAATGTCGTACGGTGCTCTGAAACCTTCTCTCCAATTCCAGAGGCCCCCTTCAACACCTCTTGTTTGGGACGCACTGTGGTGTACAGCAGTGGCTCTCAATCTCTGTGGAACATAGAATCACCTGCACCTTTTATTTTTTTTAATATTCAGATGACCAAGCCTTACAATATTTTAAGACTGCCACTAAATGGCAATATCCCAAAGGTAGAAAATGAAGAAGGTAACTTAATATTCATAAAATAACACACGCTTGGCAGCACTGAGTATAGGAAGCACAATATAATCATCTGGCTAAGTGCTTAACAGCTTTGGGAGCTGGACTGAACCGCAAAAATGAGGTTTTATGGACTTGAGGTCTCACCTCTACTATCCTCGCAACTTTTCACAATCTGTAAGAATCCAGATAATATGAAATACAAGCTCCAGCTTCCCAGAGACCAAAAGAAGGCGAGTAAGTGAAGCAGTTATATAAGCCCCCATAGAGGATCAATTCTTGATGATCCCTGAGATCTCTAACAGTCAATGATTCTATCTGTGCTAATGGAAGGAAGCAGTGGCCCAGATGAGACACCTCATTTCTACTGGCAAGCAAAATATAGGTTTAGGGGCAATTCTTCTCTTTAGTACACTTTAGTACACTTTGTCTGGCAATAAATACAAACCCAGAATGGTAAAGACAGGAATTAAGAAGCTACTGAAAAACAAGTAGGAGTGAGAATATAGGGTAGTGTTCACACACTGGTTCAAATCCCCACTAGGCTACTTATTAATTCTATGATCCTAGGGAAGCTGCTTCATTACTCTACAGTCTAGTTACCTCATCTATAAAATGGATTATTGTACCCACCCTTATAGGGTTGCTATGAGGATTAAATGTATAGAAAGCACTTAGCACAGTACCTAACATTTAGTAAACATGAAACAGACTAGTTCTTATTGTAGAAACTCCATCGGATGGGCCGGCCCGTGGCTCACTCGGTAGAGTGCAGTGCTGATAACACCAAGGCCGCGGGTTCGGATCCTATATAGGGATGGCCGGTTTGCTCAATGGCTGAGCGTGGTGCTGACAACACCAAGCCAAGGGTTGAGATCCCCTTACTGGTCATCTTTTAAAAAAAAAAAAAAGAAACTCCATCGGAGACCTCTAAACAATCTATGTAAAGGTTCGGATCCTATATAGGGATGGCCGGTTTGCTCAATGGCTGAGCGTGGTGCTGACAACACCAAGCCAAGGGTTGAGATCCCCTTACTGGTCATCTTTTAAAAAAAAAAAAAAGAAACTCCATCGGAGACCTCTAAACAATCTATGTAAAGAAGGTCAAGGGCTGACTCTACTGACCATGCATTATTCTTTTTTCCCATACATTGTTTCCAATCATTTTCTCAGCAGGGAAGTAACCGCCTTGCTGGCTTCAAATAAACTGCCAAAGTTCAAAGATAAAAAAAACAATGGAGGCTTTGAACATAGTCCAGATGAAATAGCTACTAAATATGAGGACTGTGGGCAAGACCAGCAGATGGATAAGGGGGCGTGAGAGATAGGGAGGAGTGACAGTGGAGAACAAGGCAGTAGTTCTCACGCTTTGTTATGTATCAGAACCACTGCGGGTGGGGTGGTGGCAGCAAAAACACAGATGCCTTATCATCTATGTACCCATCCTTAAAAAAATATAGTTTTGTTTTCTCAACCTTGAGCTTAATGTGCATGGAATAATATATGTATTTCTTGCGACTACTTTCACTCAACAGTATGTAATTTTTCCCAACAAAAATTCACATTAAAAGTAGAGTTTAAGATATGCGACTCTTCCATAAAGCCTTCATTGTAAAAGAGAATACAGATGCCTGGACTCCTCTGGGAGAGTCTGATTCAGCAGACTAAGAGTAAAATTAAACACCTACTTTTTAAAATAAGCTCCTCCAGATAATTCTCATGCACAACAAAGCAACTCAAAAGAGAAAGTATCTCTAAAAAAAAGGGGTGGCCTTCATCATCCTTCTGTGCCCGAGCCATTACAATTCACCACCAATATGTCTCTCTGGTCCTAATCTTTCCTGTTACATATTAAGCCACGTCAATATTCTTTTTTTTTTTTTTTAAGATGACCGGTAAGGGGATCTTAAGCCCTGACTTGGTGTTGTCAGCACCACGCTCAGCCAGTGAGCTAACCGGCCATCCCTATATGGGATCCGAACCCATGGCCTTGGTGTTATCAGCACCGCACTCTCCAGAGTGAGCCATGGGCTGGCCCTGACAAATAACTTTCTAATATAAGTATGTCCCACGCAATATTTGGGACCTACTTATAGGCATTTTTGTGTTACTGCAGTTCCCTGCCCCTCCAAACATCCCTTCTAGGGCCGCCGCGGGTTCGGATCCTTATATAGGGATGGCTGGTGCGCTCGCTGGCTGAGCGTGGTGCAGACAACACCCAGCCAAGGGTTGCAATCCCCTTACCGGTCAAAAAAAAAAAAAATTCCCTTCTATTTTGGCTGCGTCTACAACTCCCAGAAAGCAACTAAAAATTATTAATAGTTTATATAAAATTCAAATTTAATTGAGCGTCCTGTATTTTATCTGGCAATGCTAACCTCCCCTCCCCCCACAAAAAAAGAAGAAACCTGTTAGGCGTCTGTCCCACCCAATTAGCTTTTTGCGTCTGTGTAGTATTCTGTTTTATATTCTGTGCTCACACTTAGAAGGAACTCTTGAAACAGTGCAAAAGTTGATGTCCTCAGCTTCTAATCCTACACATAATACTCAGTCCCCCCGTCTGAGACCAATGAGGAGAGCTAGCTGATAAGATAAAAGACTTTGTGTCGGATAGCCCTGGGTTTAAATCTTGACTCCCCCACTTACCTAGCTGTGAGACTTTGGGCAAGGCACTTAAAATCGCTGAGACTAGTCTCATCTGTAAAATGCAGGGATATTTACCTTGAAGTATAGCTGTGAGGTTTAAGTGAGATAAAGTAAATAAAATGCCTGCCAAAGAGAAAACAATCTATAAATGGAATCTTTGAAGATGGGAAAGGTAGGAGTTAGAGACGAGTAAATGGGGTGGGGAAGGGGTTTATACTTCTCTCCTTAACATCCACTATTTTGAGGAGAGGAGTGGAGGGCAGAAGACTATCATCTTGAGTCCGAGAAGCAGGACTCTGGCTAAACACAGACCTGGCACTGGTCTAGAGAAGACAACGCTGGAATAGAGAAAGGCAGTAGGGATCCGCCGGTCAATGACCGTCAGCGGGTTGGGGATTAATGGGGGTACCCCGGGCCCGTCCTCCTCGCCCGGGCCCAGGGATGACTCAGGGAGTCGATCGGGCTCCTTCCCTCCGGGCCCAAGGCCGCATCTCTCCCACCGGCTCTCCGCCCCGACCCCAGGCCCGCCCGCCCTCTGCGCTACACAAGCCCCCAACCCAGTCCAGCCTCCACAGGCCCCGACGTAGTTCCTCACCAAACCATAGTGCTTTCCAACACCATCTTGCCACCTTCCTCCTTAGGGACCGGCTCCCCCGGACTGCCTAACAACAACCCCTGCGATTGGTCCAGAGCTCATCGCCAATCACAGGCCTCGGCGCGGCCAGCTGGTTCCGTTCCCTCCTCCGCGTTGCATTCTGGGAGTTGTAGGCGCAGCTAACACAGAAGGAATGGTAGGCAGTGGGTGCAGGGGGAAACCGCGGTGACACAGAAAGGGGACCCCACCTCCACCTTTCCGGCCACTATAGTTCACAGGTGGGGTTCCCCGCTGGTTGGATCTCAGGGAAGCTGCGGAGGAAACTTCGAAAGTGCTGTGGCTGTGTCTGTTCCAGCATCATTTTAAAAAGCGGCCGGATCACTAATAACGATCTAGCTCACTCTGTTCCACATAGCACTTTGTTCATCTAACTACTACAAGTCCTTATACCCCTGAGTTGAAGTTATTTGCAAATCCATCTCCCCCATTTAATTAATGGTAGGAAAAGTGTCAATCTTTGCAATCCTTGAGTCCAGTACAAAGTCTGACACATGGTAGAGGAGCCCAGAAAAGGTTTTGCGAATCTATAATTTTTACTAATTTTCCAAAGAACGTGCCAGTAAACCATTTTTGATTTGCTAATAAAGAGTAGCATTCAAAAATGCTTTGGGGGTTGGCCGGTTAGCTCCCTTGGTTAGAGTGCAGTGTGGATGACACCAAGGTCAAGGGTTTGGATCCCTGTACCAGACAGCAGTCACCCCCCCAGCTTTGGATTACACACACACACACACACACACACACACACACACACGAAGAAAAACTGGAAATCACACACACACACACACACACGAAGTAAAACTGGAAATCCCAGATCTCTTATCTTGGAGAAGGACAGGAAGGGGGAAAGAGGGAGGGATTGGGCATGGCTGCAGAACAGCATACTTGGAGATAGGGAAGAGGAGTGTTGTAGATATTACCTAGATGTTAGTAAAGTTTTAATGAATATGTTAAAAAGTTATTGGTACTCATCACTCATCACTCATCATAGGAATAAAATGTTCATATCCCTAGAGGAGAAAAAAAAAATCTGTCAATACAGACAGCAATGGAGAAAAGATAAGAAAGGATAGGAAAAAAATTAGTGACAAGTTCAAACATAACAAAAATTTTTTACAAACAAGATACAAATTATGTTTTAAAAAACCCAAAACATTTATGCAATGTAAACAGAAATACACCAAGCTGAGTGATCATAATAGGTGAAAATAAAGGAGGAAAAAACAATATCTCAGGCAATAGTAATGAAAAAAATGCACATGTAGCTATATTAGTACTGTACAAAGCAGAAATCTACACAAACAGCTGAAATCAGATGAAGAGTATTTATAAAAAAGAAAATTCATTAAAAAAAAAACACATAAATGCTCTGAGTTAATCAGGATAATGCAAGTCCAAAACCAAGCTGAACATCAGCAATAACCATAAGTTAGATTTGTTCTAAATGCAAAAATAAACAAAAACAGACATTCAACCAAAATAAATGGACTAGGAATTGAATGAATAACATCACCGTTCTGGGAAAATATGAAGTGATATCTGTGCAGGGAGGTGTCACCTTCTCAGCTTTAGTCAGACACTTGATAGATTGTGACCAGTTTTTAGTTACAACACTTTTTAAACAAAAAACATTCACTTACTTTTGGGTAAGGCACTGTTGTGGGCACTTAGAAGGGAACAAATCAAAGTCCTGCCCTCCTAGAGCTTACATTCTATGTGGGAAAGCAGACAACAAACCAGAAATATGTAATACATATATATGTGCGTGTGTGTATATATATATATATATATATATATACACACACGCACATATATATATTTTTATATATTGTGTGTATATATTTATATAGAGAGAGATCACACCGGCCAGCTGCCACACACACACACACAAAAAGTGGTGGGGCCAGGCCATGGCTCATTTGGGAGAGAGTGGTGCTAATGGCACTAGGGCCGCGGGTTCAGATCCCTATATAGGGATGGCCGCTTGGCTCGCTTGGGAGAGCGTGGTGCTGACAACACCAAGTCAAGGGTTAGGATCCCCCTACCGGTCATCTTTTTAAAAAAATAATAAAATGGTATAGTATGGTGGAGAAAAATATAAATCAGGGGAAAGACAAAAAATCAAGGTGGGTGTGGTTACTATTTTACATAAATAGGATATTAGACATTTGTATAGAATACCTGGGGGGAAAGCAAGTGCAAATACCCTGAGACAAGGGTGTACTTAAGAACACGGAGACCAGTAGAGGCTGGAGTAAAGAGATGAGGCCAGAAAGACAAAGGGAGTAGAGAGTCTGGATTATGTACAGCCTCACAGGCCATTTTTTTTTTTTTTTTTTTTTTAAAGATGACCGGGGGCTGGCCCGTGGCTCACTCGGTAGAGTGCGGTGCTGATAACACCAAGGCCCCGGGTTCGGATCCCACATAGGGATGACCGGTTCGCTCACTGGCTGAGCGTGGTGCTGACGACACCAGGCCAAGGGTTAAGATCCCCTTACCGGTCATCCTTTAAAAAAAAAAGAAGTAGCCATGTAGCATTCTTAATGCTTTGCTGCTTAGAAATTTCTTTGGCCAAATGCTCTGGTTCACAACTCTTAAGTCCCACCTTCCACAAAGTCCTAAGGCATGGACACAATGCAGCCAGGTTACTTGCTGTGGTGTAGCAAGGGTGATCTTTTGTCCAATTCCCAATAAGTTCCTCATTCCTATCTGAGACCTCATCATCCGCATGGCCTTTACTGTCCACATTTCTATCAGCATTCTGCTCACCACCACATAAGTCTCTAAGACATTCCAAACTTTCCCTCGTCTTTTTCCTCTTCTTCTAAGTCCTCCAAACTCCTCCAACCTTTGCCCATTACCCAGTTCCAAAGCCCCACTGCTTGGTACCAATTTTCTGTTTTAGTCTGTTTTGTGTTGCTATAACAGAAACACCTGAGACTGGGTAATTTATAAAGGAAAGAGGTTTATTTGGCTTACAATTCTGGAACAGCTGCATCTGGCGTGGACCTCAGGCTGCTTCTACTCATGGCGGAAAGCAGCAGGCAACAGGCAGGTACAAGCAGATCACATGGCGAGAGGAAGCAAGAGACAGAGGAAGTGCCAGGGTCTTTTTAAGTAAGGAGCTCTCGTGGGAACTAATAGAGCGAGAACTCACTCATTACTCCCCCGTCCCCCAGGGAGAGCATTAATCCATTCATGAGGGATCTGCCCCCATGACTCAATCAGTTTCCAACACTGCCACATTGGAGATCAAATTTCCACATGAGTTTTGGAGGGGAGAACACATCCAAACTCCATCACAAGGGTAAATCCATCAAGAGAACATAACAGCCCTGAATGTTTATGAACCTATTAGCATAGCTTTAAAATACATCAAGCAAAAACTGATAGAACTGCAAGGAGAAATGAACAAATCCTCAATTGTAGTTTATGGTTCTAATTAATAGAACAAGTACACAGAAAATCAGTAAGGGTATAGAAGATTTGAACAAAACTATCAACCACCTAGACTTAATTGACATTTACCACTCCACCCAACAAGTGCAGGGTAAACATCTTTTTCAAATACATATGGAACATTTATCAAGCTAGACCATGTGCTGGACCATTAAGCAAGTCTTAATAAATTTAAAAGGATTCAAGTCAAAATATGTTCTTTGACCACAGTAGAATGAAATTAGAATCAATAACAAAAACATCTCTGGAAAATCCAATTGCCAAAACTAAAAAACATACTTCTAAATAACATGAGTCAAAGAAGAACTCAAAAAGGAAATCAAAGTTTTTTGGACTGAATGAAAAAAACATAATAGGTGGGATGGCACTAAAGCAGTGCTTTTGAGAAATTCTATAGCACTGAATGCCTGTATTAGAAAAGAAGGGTTTAAGGCTGGCCAGTTAGCTCACTTGGTTAGAGTGCAGTGCTGATAACACCAAGGTCAAGGGTTCAGATCCCTGTACCAGCCAGCTACAAAAAAAAGGAAAAAGAAAAGGGTCTCAAATCAATGACTTTACCTTCCACCCTAAAAATTTCAAGAAAAAAAAAAAAAGAGGAAGTGAAATCTGAAGTAAGTAAAAGAAATAATAAAAATATAAAGGTCAGAGCTGAAATCAGTGAGATAAAGATGAGAAAATAGAAAAACTCATAAAAGAACAAGTCATCGAAACCAAAAGCTGGTTCTTTGAGAAAGATAAAATTAATAAACCTCTAATGAGACTGATGAAGAAAAAAAAGGCAAGTTAACAATATCAGAAATGAGAGAGATGACATTACTACAGATTCTACACATATTAAAAGGATAATAAGGGGCTAGCCGGTTAGCTGGTTGGTTAGAGTGTGGTGCTGATCACACCAAAGTCAAGGGTTCAGATCCCCATACCAGCCAGCCACCAAAAAAAAAAAAAAAAAAAGGATAATAAGGGAATATTATGAACAGCCTTATGCCAGTATATTTGACAACAAAGACAAAATAGACAAACTCCTTCAAAGATACTACCACAGCACATTCAAGAAGAAATAGATAACCTGAATAGCTCTTTATTATTAAAGAAGTTGAATTTTCAGTTTAAAACTCTTATGAAGAAAACTCCAAGCCTAGATGACTTCACTGGGAAACTCTAACAAACTTTTTTTTTTTTTTTTTTTTAAANAAAAAAAAAAAAAAAAAAAGATGACCGGTAAGGGGCTCTTAACCCTTGACTTGGTGTTGTCAGCACCATGCTCACCCAGTGAGCCAACCGGCCATCCCTACATGGGATCCGAACCCGCGGCACTGGTGCTATCAGCACCGCACTCTCCCGAGTGAGCCACCGGCCGGCCCCTCACAGGCCATTTTAAGGGCTGTTTTTAACTCTGAATGAGAAAATGAGCCACTGAAAAGTTTTTAACAGAAGGTTGACTGGATCTGACTTAACGTTAACAGGATCACTCTGGCTGCTGTGTTGAGAACAGACTGGGGGGGGGGGAAGAGCAGAAGAGAAACCAATTAGGGACTACTTTAGTGATCAGATAAGATGGTGGCTTATTCTAGGATAGTAACAAGGAGTGAAAGTGGTGACACATGGTTGTATTTTGAGTATATTATAAAAATAAAAAGCGGTCAGAATATGCCAATGGATTTGAAGAGAGGCATGTCAAGGAAAATCCCGGAGTTGATGGTCTAAGCAACGAGAAGAACAGTCATATTTCCCATGATGGGTGAGAAGGGGCAGGAACCAGAAATGCACCTTTGGACATATTAGGTTTTTAGATGCCTGTTAAACACCTAAATGGAGATGTCAACTAAGTGAGTAGATATAGATATCTGAGTTCGCAGTTCAGAAAAGAGAACTGGAGATAGAAATTTGGGGAGTTTTTAAGCTGATATGCGGGTGGTACTTAGATCATGAGGTGACAGGGAAGTTAGACAAATTATACAAGCTGCTTAGGTCATTGTAAGGACTTTTAAATTACCTAGGGAGTGAATGTAGACGAAGAAGAAAAGAGGTCCTGTAACTGAGCACTGGGATATTTCAACATTTAGAGGTTAGAGAGAAAAAGAGGAACCAGAAGAGAGGATGGAGATGAAGCAATCCCTTGGTAAGAACCACCAGGAGAAAGCAGTATCCCAGAAAATATTTCAAGAACAGATGCTGCTGACATATCAAGATAAGGACTGATATATTTAGCAACATGGAAGTGATCAGTAACCTTAATAAGGGATGCTTTGGTTGGTGCAGGGGATAAAAACTTGCAGAGTTCAGGTGAGATTGGGGTGAGAAAACTATTTGTAAAAATTCATTTGTAAAACAATTGGGTAACTTTAAACACTGATTGTATATTTGCTTTTTTTTTTTTTTAAGCTGACCGGTAAGGGGATCTTAACCCCTGGCTTGGTGTTGTCAGCACCATGCTCACCCAGTGAGCAACCGGCCATCCCTGCATGGGATCTGAACCCATGGCCTTGGTGTTATCAGCATCACACTCTCCCGAGTGAGCCACGGGCCGGCCCGATATTTGCTATTAAGGAATTAATTTTTTTAGGCATGATAATGGTGTTATAGCTGTATTTTTTTAAAAAGAGTCCTTATCTCTTAAGAGTTATATGTCAAAGTATCTGTGAATAAAAGGATGTGATATCTGGGATTTATTTTAACTTAATACTTTGGAGGCACAGAGAGAAAGTGGGGGTGGGACAGAAAGTACAGATGAAACAGACTGGCCTTATTTAATTGTTGAAGCTGAGTTATCTGTACATGAAGATTCACAAAACTACTGTACTTTTGGTTTGAAATTTTCCATAATAAAAAAGAAAAAGAAAAAAGGGGGGGGGGAGAAAAGAGAAAATGGAAACAGCAAGATCCTTTATAGTGGCTTTTAAAATCTTAGGAGAGATGATATTGACCCAATTTTTGTGTCCTTAAAAAAGCAAAGTATAAATAGTTTATCTGGATTCTTTTAACTGGCAAATCTTTGTTAAAGAATGAAGGAGACTCTAACTCTGATGAATTTCTTTTAGACCAGATGAGGACTTCCAACTTTAGATTTTTTTTTTTTTTTTTTTAAAGATGACCAGTAAGGGAATCTCAACCCTTTGGCTTAGTGTTGTCAGCACCACGCTCAGCCAGTGAGCGAACCGGCCATCCCTATATAGGATCCGAACCCGTGGCCTTGGTGTTATCAGCACCGCACTCTCCCGAGTGAGCCATGGGCCGGCCCTCCAACTTTAGATTTTGATTTACCTTTTAGTTAAGTTTCACATTAACAGACCCTACTTGTATCAATATAAATTACTGCATAAAGCTATAGAACAAGCACTAGCCGTTACTTACCACTAGAGGGATCCTCTGACCATAAGAGGGTATCTATACCACACACTCAACAGAGTACACTGAAGTGAAAGTGACAGGGCCAAGGTAGCAGAAACACCATTTATGCCTAAAATACGTTCAAATCCAATTCCTATTAGGGAAACAAGTTTTCTCCTTATCCAGCCTAAATGAGGCTGAGCATCCTGGATCAAATTAAAAACTCTTGAGAATCCCCAAATCCACTTCCAATTACTTGTTCTATCATAAAGTTGCTTTTCTCTTACCATCTCAGTGATCTCCTTTCCTTTCCAATATCTGTCACCATCATCCTAGACCCGTATCACCTCAGACCTGAATTATTACAGTCTAATTAGTCTTCTTTTTCTATCTGTTCTGATAGAACTTTGCTAACAAATTAATCTCTGAATTATGGTTAGCTCAGCTGGTTACAGTGTGGTGCTGATAACACCAAGCAAGGTCCAGGGTTCAATCCCTCTACTGGATAGCTGACCAAAAAAAAAAAATGATAATCTCTAAATTATTTTGTTTTGATCATATCCTACTTAGGAGCAGAAATATTCTATGGTTCCCCATTGTCTACAGTTTAAAGTAAAAATTCCTCAGCCTTGCAGTCAGGGTTTCCAATGTTGCCTCTACCTATACCTATTCCAGTATTCTCAGCATGGTCTCTTGTTCTGTAAAACAGACCATTCTCATGCCTCTAGGTCCTTGTGAAGTGAAACTTTCCCAGCACTTTTAGCCCACAGTATCCACTAACCTCTAATTTTCTTCCACTTTTATGTTCTGTACCACTTGTTCGGAGAACTTAAATCCTTAGCTGTCTGACTTCAACATACTTTTGTGTATATATATGTGTGTTCCTCTTAGACACTTAAAAACTTTTTCCCCCTTTGAACACCTAGAAACTCTTAAGGACAATTACTTCTTTTGAACTCCAGCTACCCCTTGCATTACTCATTAACTGCCACATAAACATGTGTAGAATGATCTCGACAATATAGGGAATAGTGGTATTGAAAGGAGCAATGTTTAGTTAACTGGCTCTCTACAGTTTCCCCACCTCCACACCTTAGAAATGAGCCCTTCCTCCACCGGCTTTTTTGTCTAGTTTCTTATTAAAGCAAAAGAGCCTAAGCTCAACCTCATGGAAAAGAAAAACACAGAGCTGAGGGAAGCAGTCTCTCTGATTTTCTAAGAGTGACACCCTAGGGCCAGGACAGGGTAAGGAAAGGGAGGAAATCCTAGGGCCAACTGACCTCAACCTCGCTTTTCCCATGGTTGTTCTTTTTCCTCCTAGCTCCGAGTAACCTTTGGGCTGTCAATCCCCAAATCCCTCAGTTAAATTGGTTTGCAATCTAGGCAGAAGACCTATGGTAATTCCCCTTATATTCGTTCACAACTTTTCCTTGTTGTAAAGTTGTTAAGATGGTTGGGTGGCTGGAAAGTAGAGAACGGCTTCATTCCCAGTCTGAGTTAAACTATAGTGAAGGGAAACTGGAAAGGATGCAGCTTTTGTTCAGGGTAACATAAACAAAACCAGGCCTGGAGCTGGCCAGTTAACTCAGTTGGTTAGAGCATAGTGTTATAACACCAAGATCCAGGGTTTGGATCCCCCTACCAGCCAGGTTCATTAAAAAAAACAAAAAACAAAAAAAAACACCTAAGCCTCTAAGCCTGGGTAGTGGAGTAGGGGGCTGGAGCAGACAATATATAAAAAAGAAGCAGGAAGAAATAAGAGTGTCTAAATAACTGATTAAAGTTTAACACATTAAAACCAGATATTTATCACTTTTATATTGCATTTGCCATTTCTGAACAATACAAAGTAGAGGCAAATAGTGACACTTCATAAAAATGTTCATTCCCCATTCCTTTCCCTAAGACCCAGCCCTCCCTTAAATATTCCCTCCCACCCCTTACAGAACACTGTCCTGAATAATACACTTAAATACATCATAAATAGTAAATTATGAAAAAAAAATAGCAAGAATTGTTTCTTTCCTTCTCGTAAAAAAGAAAATGGCAGCAAAGACAGGCAGCCAGAAACTGGCTGGGGGTGTCTAATATAGACAGTTACTTAGGGTATGGGATAACCTACTACCAAGGTAGGGTGGGATGGAGAAGGGATAGTATGGGAATTCAACAATCTGCCTGGGACACCAGGACCCTGCCCCCTTCTTCCCCTAACAAGAGCAGAAGGTTCAGATGGAGAACCACAAGTCTTGGAGATGAGGAGGAGAGGGCTGACGTAGCCCCCATTTCCAAATCCCCCACATGAAGACAGCAGGCAAGGCAGGTGGCACAGCAATGACCTCACCAAGGCAAGAATCTGCTGGCTTCGCATGAGCTTAATATTGTCTTAAACTCATAGCTTCATAGATACGGACTGCCTGTTAGACACAGGTGTCCCTCTCTCCACCTTAGCTCTACAAACAGCAGAACACTGTTGGAAAAGATGGGAAGAGCAAAGAAGAAATCTCATTTGGAAATGATCTAAAATTCATTTGATAAGTCTTCACATTTAAAAAAACAACCAGAATACATTTCAAATTGCAAAATAGTAGTAACCATTATGGCCTGGTTGTGAGTAGAGTCCTGCCCAGGAAGAGCTCTAATCTCCTTGCCCCATGGCTGTCCCACTGTTATAACAAAAGGAGTAAAGATTATCCCATGTCCCACTCTCTCCATTCCTTCAGCCTTGGCAAATTCATCAAGAAAGGAGGAGTTAAAGAGGAGCTGCTCCTGGCAGAGCAATCTCCACAGTTCTGCTTCACAAACACCAGGGTTCTTCTGAGGGAACTCTATGAATAGTCATCTCTTCCACACTTCTGAAGCTTTGATCTGAAATTGGCTTGAAATTGTGTGCTGTGTGACGTCTGTTCTTTTCATTTTTTAAGGGGAAAAAAGAAGGCTGGGAGGTGGTTAACCACCCCTACTCCCCCAAAAACCTTTACAAAGATTACAGGATTCTTCTTCCAGGGACCAGAGAGAAAGAGCTAAGGTGGGGATAATGTGCCAGCCAGTCTGTCCTGAGGAAATTAAGAGTCCAGCTCCAGGTGAAAGGTAGATAAGAATGAAGAAAACCACAAAGTCCAGCAACCTTACTTCCAGCACGAAGAATGGGGGGTTGAAAAAAATTCAATTGTGGGAGCCAAGGATGACTAATTAAAAATTCGTGCCACCCAACTCTGCAGTGGAGGGGATGCTGCTGTCCTCAGTTGTCTGAGACACTGATGCCCATTCAAGAAGAAGGAAAAGGAGAAGAGGTTCTGTTTCAGGAAGGAGATGGAAAGCTCCCTTCACCTCTGCTACATTCCTTTTTTGATGACCCAGAAGAAGAAAACTCAGCATTGCTGGGGCAAGGGCTGACATCTTGGAATCACAGAGACAGCAGAATCTTGTTCCAGGTCTTCTGAGGCTTTTTGCTCACTGAAAAAGGACAAGGTGTAAAGTTAAGGATATGGAGTATGAGATAAGAGGGCAGGAATGGAATTCAAGTTAATTTCAACCTGGCTGACAAAGTTAAGAAATTTTTTTCTATTTCAGGCTCAGCTTCCATGTATGAGGTATCAAAACCATAATTTTGTAAAATATCAGTGTTTTCAAAAAATTTTTAATTATTTTATTTTTACTTATTTTATTGGCAGCTGGTTGATATGGGGATCTTCACCATGCTCTAACCAACTGAGCTAACCAGCCTACCCTCAAAATCACAAAATTTAAAAAAAACACAAGACTTAGGGGGTACCCAGACCTTCTAACCTTGCCAATTAATGTCTTACTCCATTCTACCAGCGATGCTCTTTATACCCTTCAAAGCATTCACCTCCCACACATCCCAGACACTCACATGGGTGAACTCTGACTCTGCAACTTCAAGCTTTTCCAAGGTTGAACTAGTAGGAGAAAAAAAAAAAAAAAAGGAGACAGAGAGGAAAAGAATTAGAAGATAAAAGAGGACTTTCCTCTCAAGTCAAATTCCACACTGCTTCTCCATATTTCACTTCATAATCGACTCAGGATTCAGAAAGAGGCAAAGAAGTCACCAGATTTAGAAGCAAATTGTTTTAATTAACTATTTAGTTTCTCAAGTAGCCTCCTCCTAGTACCTTCCTCTTATTAAGACTGCCCCTAATAATTCTTGCTTCCTGATATTCATGCCCTTGTGTAATTCTTCTGTTCTTGAGTATTGGCTGCATTTAGTGAATACTTTCTAGTGAACAGAATGCAGCACAGGTGATGGAATGTCAATTCTGGCTTACTTACTCTGAGGGAAGCTAGCTGCTATGCTATGAGCTACCCTATGGACGAGCAATGTGACAAGGAACTGAGGGAGTACCACTGGCCAACAGCCAGTGAGGAACTGAGCCCTGAGCCCAACTGCTTTCAAGGAACTAAATCCTGCCAACAACCATATAAGTAAGCTTGGAAGATGATCCTCCCATCCCGTCTCCCAGGTGAGCTTTCAGGCTAATAGCTTGACTGTAACCTCCTAGAGACCCTGAGCCAAGGGCATCCAGCCAAGCCACAGAACTGAGATAATAAATGTTTGTTGTTTTCAACTGCTAACTTTTGGGGTAATTTTTTTGTGGTGGCTGGCCAGTATAGGAATCCGAACCCTTGACCTTGGTGTTATAACACTGTGCTCTAACTAACTGAGCTAACCAGCCAGCTCCTGGGGTAATTTATTACATGGTAATAGATAATACAGATTTTCCTATGGAAGGGAGGTGCTGCTGTAACAAAAATTTTAAAAATGGGAGTGGCTTTGGAAGAGGGGAGTGGCTTTGAGGAGAATTTTAGTGAAAGTTTAAAGTGTCCTATATATGCCGTTTGTACAATTTTGGACTTAAAAGGGACTGCCAGTGAGGGCTTAAAAGAAAGTAAGAAAAATCTTATTGGAAACTGAAGGAAAGGGGATCCTTGTAATGTAATGGCACAAAGTTCTGCAACAATGTCATCTGTAGTTATGTGAAAAGTAGAATATGTGCCTAATGAATTGAGTGATCTAGCTAAGGAGATTTCCAAGCAAAGTCCTGAAAGCACTACCTGTTTTCTTCTTGATGCTTACAGTAAAATAGGAGAGAAGAGAAACAAATTAAGGGAAGAAATACTAAACAAATTCTAAGCCTCTCCAGAGAGCAAACAATGCTAACATAAAGAAACAGCTTCTGAGCAAGGATCAAATCCAGCACACTGCCAAGAAAATGTGGTCTAAAGATGAAGCCGTAGGTATGACTATAAAACATTTTAAGACCTCAAAAAAATAAAAGGTGGTGCTTCAGAGTACTATTCAGTCATACAAAAGACTATTCAAAAAGATTAAGGGTATGTCTCACAATCCTCAACTGAAAAACAGGGTCTCTAAGAAGCTTAGGGCTTATCAAGAAGATATTTGTGAGTGTGGCTTTTGTCTAACAGAGTGAATCACAATGAGGTTCACAGGAGCCCCACAAAATCTTTGAGGGAATTATATCTGTAGAAACACTGCCAGCTTGTATCAAAAGGGACAGAAACAGTACAAAATGAAAAGACAAAATAACTTAGCTTCAAACACATTCTAGCTTTAATAAAAAAGGAAGAAGACTCAGAAGACAAAACCAAGAGTCCAGGGGGTGGAGCCAAGAGCCATGGAAAATTACTCCCATCCTCTGAGACCTGATCAAAAGAACTTCAACATTTTGGATTTTGGAGTAGCTAATAGCTAATGAATCAGTGACTCCTTCATGCCTCCCAGTGTCGCCTTTTTGTACAGAAACATGTATGGTGGTTATCTAATGCCTATCCCACAACTGTATCCTGGGTTTGTAGAAAGAAGATAACTTGTCTCTTTAGTTTCACAGGTCCATAGATTGAGGAGCTGTTCTTGAGGAGCTGTGCTTAAGGAAGTATACCTGGGGAGCTCATCCAAACCTGTACCTGATTTGGATAAATTCTGGACTTTGAGTGAATGCTGTAATGGAATGAGACTTTTGCAGACCTTGGGAGGGAGTAAATATATTTTGCACGTGCAAGGAATTGAATCATTGGGGCAAGAGGGCAGACTGTGATGGACAGTTTCTAAGATGTCTCCCAATGATCCCTGCCTCTTGGTATTTATATCCTTCCTCTTAAGTGTGGGCTGCATTTAGTGAATAGAATGCAGCACAGGTGATAGGATGTCAATTTGGAGATTAGTATACAAAAAAAACTGTGGCTTCTGCTTATGCACATGCTCTGTTGCTCACTAAGGGAAGCCAGCTCTCATGTTCTGAGCAGCTCTATGGAGAGGCCCATGTAGCAAATAACTGAGGGAGGCCCCTAGCCAACAGCCTGCAAGGAACTAAGGCCCTCAGTGCAGCAATCTGCAAGGAACTAAATCCTGCCAACAACCACATAAATGAGCTCAAAAGCAAATCCTCCCATTTGAGCCTTCAGATGAGACCCTAGCTCTGGCCAATAGCTTGACTGCCACCTCATGAGAAACCCTGAGCCAGAGGTCCCCAGCTAAGCTGCGCCTGAATTCCTGACCCACAGAAACCACGATATATTTTTGTTATTTTAAGCCACTAAGTTTTGGGGTAATTTATTATGATGCAATTGATAAGTAATACACTAGGTAACAAAATTAAGTCATGATCTTTACACTGAATGCTTTTGAAAGATTGTTCATTATTTTCAACACCCAGGAATCTTTCCAGCCTTACATCCTAAGCTGAGAATTCTCACTTAACTCACCAGAAAATGAAGGGTTAATTGGGTATTTGACTCAATACCAGAAAAGTCTGCAGACAAAGGCTTACCCTCATCCCTTAAAGATTAAGAGAAGTTAATAGACTTTTCCAAATAGCTGAAGATGAGTTCTTAGGAAGGTAAACCTGCACAAATCTAGTGAATAACAAAAGACAAACAATGATCCCTTGAAAAAGAGAATTATGGCGGTTCCCAGAGACCTGGAGAGAGAGAGAAAATTATATGAAGAAAGCAGCCAAGAAACCAACCTTGTAGTTAGCATTTGCAAAGTCTCTCCAACTACATGTGAGAAACTGGGGTCAGGAATAGGCGAGCCCTCACTGATTTCCTCCAAAGGTGGAGTTTGAGGTAAAACATCAGGACGACCGAGGTGGACGCCTGGAAAAAAGAAAGGGGAAGAAAATCAATAAATAAAAATGAGGAAAAAATGGGACGGGGGAACAGGGAAAAATATGTAGCAACTTGGCTTTTCCTGAACGGAAATGGGGAGTAGAGATTCTGGCCAGAGAAGATAAGGGATCAGAAGGGAGGGAGGGTGTACCCAATCACATGGGGACCCCAGCCCTAGCGCTGACCTGGCTCCACTTCCGCCTTTGTTGTCACTTGTGCCTTGTGTTCCCCAGAGACCGATGACTGGTAAGTAATGCAGGAGTTGCCGCTGGGGCCTGATCGCCGAGAGAAAGATGAGCCAGACCGAAACTTTTTGGAAGGAGAAGGCTTCACTTCAAAACGGAAAGAGAAAGCCTACTTAGCACCCATCTCAGAAACCATAACCAAAACACAGACACAAATTGCTAGTGTCCCCAGCACACACCCAAAGTTGTTGTTCTACAAAGCAGGAAGAAGCATTAATGTCAACAAAGATGGGCTCTATGAACTACTATTCAGAGGAAGGAGTCTCAGTTCACTTCTCTTTGGAAAGAAATAGAAAACCCAGAGGAAATGTGACACATACATATCTCCCACCTCCTACAATGTCGATGCTTTTGCTTCCACCTGATGAAATGTCCTCCATTCCATAATTCCCTTGTTCTTTAATTGTATCCTCCAATAAAACCTGACAGATGACCCTTTCACTCTATATCATTTTAGCACTTATGCACACAACACTATGATAATTTACACTTGTTTATCACTTGGAAAAGACTGAAAGGATTTTTCCATGTCCCTTAAGACTGCCTAGCATGCTTAGGTCCTCTTTGTCTCCCTAAGGGACTACTGATGCCTATGATGAGGAGATGAGAAGGAGAAGCTGGAATCTGATAGTGGCAGCAGTATGGAAGATTTGAGAAAAAGAGTACTCACACTTCCCAACCAAAAAAGTTGAGGAAAGAGACTAAGAACACCTGCTAAGCAGAAATCAGTAAATGCTTCTCTAACCACTTGATCTAGTGTGAGGACTCCTTGGCACTTGGGATATGGATGGAAAATAAAATACTGGTAACATCCTTGCCTATCTCTGTATATAAAGTCTGGTTCTGCCTATCTCCAACCTGTGACCTGGATCCTACATCCACAACTACACATTTTTTTGCAATCCCACCAACTCCCCAAAAATGACCCTCACCTCAATGACACATGTAGGGAGAGCCAGGGGGAAACCAGCAACTCAGAAACGACTGGGACAGACAGAGTGACTGACATAAGGATGAGAAGCAGCTCTCACAGGATGTAGGTAGAGCAGGAGAGGCCTCTGGCCTTGGTAGCTCCCTGACAAAGGTGTCCTGTCCCCCATTTCTTGGGGTAAGGGAGCCACTGGGGGGTCATCTGGTAGAAGCCACTTACAGGGGATCTTCTTGAACACTGTGTTGCACATGAAGCGCTGGAACCGTTCAGCATAGAAGCCTGGGCGATGCACTGACACGGTATCCTGCAGAACAGAAGAGATGGCTATAGAATTAGAGAAAGAAAGGCCCAGCAAGAGGACCTCCAGTCCAAGGACCATTTTCCCTTAGGCTGAGACATTAGCAGAAGAGTAAACCCACAAATGAAATAAGAAATAAATGGAGGAAATCAAGGGGGCAAATCAGTAGTGAGGAAGGCAGAAGTGGAGAGGAGAGCCTCTAACAATTGCTACTCACCCCATCATGTACCAGTGCTTTCCAAGAGTGTTCCAACTTCTTAACAAACCTGTCGAGAAAAATTTATATCACACACTCACATAGTTTTTGAATGAATGACTTTAACAATTTTCTATTTTAGGGTGTTAAAGGCACAATAATAATAGAAAATCTTGAAAAGACAGAAGCTGGAAAAGCACACCCACTGTGGTATGCTGGCTTTCCAAAGGACAGGTATGGCAGTGCTTGTGCAGCATGGAGACCAATGCTGTTTGTAGGTAAATCAATTATTCCCCCACGGGGAAAGGATAGTTTATACATCTCTGGCAAATCAGGGACAAGAATATTTATTATAAAAGGAAGAACAGAAGGGCAAGCCTAGAAAAGGTAGTTAAAACTGCATAATACTCTGAATCAGTAAATCAAGTATTGTCCAGTCCTCATTAGTACCTAAAACCTTATAGGAACAAAACTGGGGTCTAACATTTCCAGCTCCTCCCTCATGACCATTTTACTGCCTATTAGTTTCATTGACTAATACTTTTTACAGAACACAGTGACCCTTTTGTTTTTCCTCCATGGAAAAGGGGGACGTGTTTCCAGCTGTATCCCAATGGGGAGCATGACTCATCTCACAAGTGTTTCACAAAGAGCAGACAGATGGCACATTCTACCCTGGTGCTTCTAAGGATTGACTCAGCTTTCCACAGAAGGTATATATTATGTTTGGGGAGGTGTGGGGTACAGAAGCCAGGGAGGGAGGCAAAATCAAGGAAATAAACCATATGAAAACCGATAAAATAAGCAGCAAGAGTGAAACTCTTCTTATTTCAGGAAGAACTTCAAGACAAACGCATTTAAAGAGAAATGTGAGTGGCTATCTGCATCCACCCTGTCTCCTATTTGGGATCCATATGCTTCTCACCTGTAGGACTGCAGAATATCAATGATGCCAATATAAAGCAGGAGCCTTTCCCCTTTACTATTCCGGGCAGGAATGCCACCCATACTGGGGAAGACAAAAGGGAAGAGTAAGAAAATCTGTTGGCAAGCAGATAGAGGCTTCTTCTAACCTTGAGTCAAATCAGGATATAAAATTGAGAGCTAAACATAACACTATCTCATTCTTCACAAAATGGGAGAGAGTGAGATCCTTCCTCCAATCCCAAGAACCACTCTGGAGTATGTATTATAACCACATTCTCTCCAAATCTCCTTGCCTACCTCTCCCACCCCAACTCCACCAAAAAGAACCTAAAGTCAGCACAACTCAGCAATTTTGGGAATGTTCCTCCAATTAACTCTGAACTTCCTCAGTACTTTTGTATCTTAATTTATGCCCACTAAGACATTCTTCTTGAAAGTTATGTTATAGGATACCCTAAAAATGAAACCAACTAAAAGACATTTATAATACTTCAGAAATTATACTTCCTAGATTGATCCATAATAGTAAGAAAGATGCCATCCACAAAGAAGTCTATAATAAATAGTTTTGCTTTGTTTTTGGTGTCTGGCCTGTACAAGGATCAAGGGATCAAACCCTGTACCTTGGTGTTATTATCACCACGCTTTAATCAACTGAGCTAACTGGCCAGCCCTAAATTGTTTTTTTTTTTCCTTTTTGTCTTTTTTACTGACCGGTAACGGGATCGCAACCCTCGGTGTTGCGCCCGCACCACGCTCAGCCAGTGAGCGGGAACCGGTCTCCACATGGGATCCGAACCCTCAGCGGGAGCGCCGCCGCACTCCCAAGCGGCGCACTCTCCAGTGCGCCACCGGGCCGGCCCCCTAAATTGTTTTTGATAGAGTTCTAACATAATTTACAGACCTTGAGTGTAAGACTCAAGACCAGAGACCAGGACTCTGAGTGTAATTTTTAAAAAATTTTTAATTTTGGATAGCTCTCCTTCCCAGATGTACTATAAACTCCAAAGCTCATTCTATGATTCTGTAAACAATAACGTTGCTGACTTAACTGCTGAATTGAGGCTACTCCTTCTTCCCAGAAACTGGGTCTCTTCCTCAAGAAAAAAAGTCTGAGCCTATGTTCTCTTTCCTGGTGCCCTGACCCCACTCACTGGTCATCAGTCTCCATGGTGCCACCCCTTCGAGCCTCGCCCTGAATGGATTCCATGGCTGTGGAATAGAGAGCCTTTTGGGGGGCTGGTCTGCGAGTATCAACTGAGTATTGTGTTTCACTGCTTAAGGGCTCACGTTGTGCATGATCTATGTTGTGGATTGACATCAAGAGGCTATAGTCCATTATCTTGAAGCTCTGCAGCACCTAATGGAAGGAAAAAACATGATCTGAGCCTTAAGAGGTAAAAGAATTTTTTCAGGATCTCACAGCTTTCATGATTGAATCATTTGTGATAGTGAATCTCCAGAGATAACCACAGTATTATTCTTTGCTCCTCCTATTCCTTGGAGAAAAGTATATTAACTTCCTCTGGTCAGTAGTCTTTATTTACACTTTATTTACATCCCATTAGCTTTCTCTCATTTGAGTAAATACAAATTATTTTTTCAAGTCTCACTACTTAGCCCACAAGACCCTCTTCTTTCCTTGTATCTCTTCACTAAAAGAACACTATATTTTGCTTATGGACTTCCTACAGCAGTTGAAGCAATCAGCCTATATTTGACTATCAATTACTGTCAACTTTTTTTTTTTTCTGGAGGCTGGTTGGTATGGGGATATGAATCCATGACCTCGGTGTTATAATGCTGTACTCTAATCAACTGAGCTAACTGGTCAGTCCTTGGAACACTATATTTTGAGAATATATTTTGTGCAGCAAACAATATATAATGAGGGTCTGGTAAAAGTACACTTTGTGACAGAAGAGATATGCTGTAGGACCTTATACAACCAACTTCAATTCAGTTCAACATTTACTGAGTCCCCACCACATGTAGACATTGTGCCTGCTTACAGAGATATAAAGATATTTAAGGGAGTGTTTCTGTCCTTAAGGATATTATAAATTTAGGAAGAGATACAAATGTAAAATAAATGCAATACAGTCTAATATGTGTAACAGTAGAAGTCCTTACATGATAGAGTATAGAAGAGGCCAAGAAGTGATATCTAAGTAGGTTTATGATGGATAAACTGGAGAGAAAATAGTCCAAGTAAATAAAGAAGGAAAGAATATTGCCAAGGGGGCTGGCCTATGGCTCACTCAGGAGAGTGTGGTGCTGATAATACCAAGGCCATGGGTTCGGATCCCATATAGGGATGGCCGGTTAGCTAACTGGCTGAGCATGGTGCTGACAACACCAAGTCAAGGGTTAAGATCCCCTTACCGATCATCTTTTTAAAAAAAAAAAAAAAAAGAATAATGCCAAGGTCTAGAGCATGAAACAGCATGTTATATGTAGAGAACTATAATTTGGTATTGTTGGAACATAAAATGGAAAGGGTAGGTGTGGCAGAAGAGAGGTTAGCAGGGCCAACACAATGATAGTCAGTGTGTCAATATTAAGAAGCCTGGACTGCATCCTATTGTTCTCAACCCCTTCTGGGTGGAAAAAGGTATACTCTTATCAGCTCTAGTAGCTCACTTTGTCAGTGTAGCTAAACCAAGGGTGTCTAGGTACGTTGGTGGAGTAAGGGATGAAGAGTCTAGGATTGATTCTTGTGAATGGTTTGAAAAAACCTTCGGCCCCATTGATTGAATAAGTCTCTAGCCTTTGCAGCCAGAGACAAACTAAAATAGGTATTATTCTGGAAGTAGATGTAGGATGAGCAAACAAAGGCAAGGATGGATGATATTATGGACTGAGTAGAGGAAGATGATCCTGCAATAGCAGTTTGAGAAAAAAAGAGATGTAGAAAAATCAGTAGGGAAAGGTGTCACAAAAAACAAAAGATGATATATTAAGAATGTAGATATTGTCAATTATCAAATGCTGCAGAAAATTCAAGGAAAGACTAAGAAGTACTGTCTATTTAGCATCTAGGTGGGCACTGAGGAGAGCAATTCTATTGAAGTGGTAAGAGCAAAAGCCAGAACATACTGGGTTGAGATAGGATAAGAGATGAGAAAGAAAAGGAGAAATGGAAGCATTGCTAGTCAAAGGCATTGAAAGAAATCTTCCTAAACTTAAGATAGAAGAGATAAACTTGCTTGTATAGAAACGGAAAACAGCCAGTAGGGGCTGAACCTTGAGGATGGAAAATAAGCAAGTAAGAAAGCAGGTCCTAAAGAAACAAGAGAAAATGGATCTAGAATACAAAAAGGACTGACTTGGACTAACTCACCAAGTTGGAAAGAAAGAGATTAAGGATTTTAAAGTGTGGATATGCTTATAAATTGATAAAGGAGGCAAGCACGAAGAAATGGAACAGGATAGAAAGTTGAGGTAATTTGTCGAGAAACAAAGTTGGGGAGATGAGTTAGAAAATGGTTTGAAGAGAGTACCAAAGATTTGAAATCTCTGGGGCCGGCCCGGTGGCGCACTCGGTAGAGTGCGGCGCTTGGGAGTGCGGCGGCGCTCCCGCTGAGGGTTCGGATCCCATATAGAGTCCAGTCCGCTCACTGGCTGAGCACGGTGCGGGCGCAACACCTAGGGTTGCGATCCCGTTGCTGGTCGCGGTACGGGCGTGACACTGAGGGTTGCGATCCCGTTACCGGTCACGAAAAAAGACAAAAAAGAAAAAAAAAAAAAGATTTGAAATCTCTGTTGGGAGCAATAGGAAATGAACTGATGAGCAATACTGAAGGCCCAGGTGGGGCTGGATATCACAAATCTGTAGAGATGCCAGTATACATACTTGAGTGATTTTTTTTTTTCAGAAGCATTTAGTGTCCCAAGATATAAATTTGGATTTGGCAGACAGAACCAAGATCTGAGGAATGATGGTGCTGGTGTGAAAATAGATAGAAAGTTTGACTAGGAGGCCCAGGCTAGCTAGAGGAGGAAATAAAGCAAAGTGGGGGAGGATAAACAGGGAAAAAGTAAAAATGTAAAGTCATGGCAAGGAGCTGAGGTAAAAGTTATTTTAAATGAAGTCTGGCACATGGAGAAGGGGACCAGACCCCCCCCTCCCACAACCAGGCACCCCATGCCAGCACCTCAGGGCCTGCACTGGGAACCGGGGCATGGAGAAGGGGACCGGACCTACTTCCCATAACCAGACACACTGCACCAGCACCTCGGGGCACGCTTGGGGACCCTGGGTATGGAGAAGGGGACTGGACCCCCCCCCCCCACAACCAGGCACCTCCTACCAGCACTCCAGGGCCCACCCGGAGACCTGGTGTATGGAGCTGGGGACCGGACACCCCTCCAACAACCAGGCACCCCATGCCAGCACCTTGGGGCATGCCCAGGGATCAGGTGTATGGAGCTGGGGACTGGACCCCCCCCTTCCCACAACCAGGCACACTGCAACAGTGCCTCTCGGCCCGCCCTGGAACCCAGGGCATGCAGAAGGGGACAAGATCCCCCTCCTACCACCAGGCACACTGCACCAGTGCCTTGGGGCCTTCCCATGGACCTGACACATGGAGAAGGGGACCAGACCCCCCTCCCACAACCAGGCACCCCATGCCAGCGCCTCAGGGCCCACTCAGGGACCGGGTAATGGAACTGGGGATCAGACATTCTCCACAACCAGGCACACCACCAGCACCACGGAGTAGTCCAAAAACATCTCTTCTATGTGCGTGGCCCACCTCAGCCACAATGATAACTATGGCTGTCGTGAAGGCGGCTAGATGCCACAACCACCACACAGATGGTTCGCCAGCCACTGGAGTGAGTTGACACAAGGAGAGTCACCAGCAGACATAAAGAAAGGAGGAGGATGTCTCTCCCCACAAAGCCCATTTTATAGTGACAGAAGAGACATCTGCTCTATGATAGTATTGGGGGACCTGATCACGCCTCTCAGCATTGGACAGATCATTTGGGCAGCAAATCAACAGAGTAACCATTATTCTTTCAGAGAGAGAGAAGAAATCTAGGGTGATTAGAGGGGGGAGGTAAAGGTGAATGCGGAGGGATTGGTCAAGGGCATAAGGAATAATTACGATTTGTAACAATATATACGCTAGTAATATTGATTTGATCAATATATATCAATGTTGAATCCCCAAAATATGTATAATCAATTTTGATTCAATAAAAATTAAAAAAAAAAAAAGAAAGTCTGGGATATATAGAGCTAAGGAACACAGTCCCATCTCCCACAGACTTAATGCCTAAGAACAACCAATGTGTTTTAGTGATTGAGATATTTGGTGTCTGAGAGAGAGGAAATATAACAAACTCACCAAACAGTCACGCTGCAGGGTCTTACACAGAGCATTGTACATGTCGGCATCCAAAAAAAGACCATCAGGGATGTCTTGTAAAAAGTCCAGGTCTTTAAAGGTTGGGAGAAGCTTCTCTCGCTCTTTTTGGGAAGCCCGCCGTTTGTAGGTTGAGCCCTTAAGGTCATATTTGATATGCATTTTGACTGACCGTGGTAAGAGATTGTTCATCACCACAATTCGAATGTTCTTGCCACCCGCCTGCACACAGTAAAGTCCATAGAATTTAGGCAGCAAAGTCCGAGGGTTCTGGTTGAGGTTCTGAGTGCACAAAAATAAAAAGAAATAAATCAAGTTAGCTGACTTTCAGTGAAATGCAAGGGCAAAAGTTGCCACCTATCCTTCCTTTGTCTCCTACATGGGATTCAGGCACAGTCTGTGTACCCATAAACGCACATTACGTTTGTTCAAAATTTCCCAATGCATCTGTCTTAGTGATGAGATCACTATCAAGCTGAGCCACATACCCTCCAATACAGTAAATCAGTCAGGACACCAAACATATGATGGATATATGAGAGTACTTCAGAAAGTTCATGGAAAAATAAAATTAAAAGATAATATGAGGGCCGGCCCGGTGGCGCACCGGATAGTGCGCCGCTTGGGAAGCGTGGCGGCGCTCCCGCCCGAGGGTTCGGATCCCACATACAGACCGGTTCCGCTCACTGGCTGAGCGAGGCGCAGGAGCAACGCCGAGGGTTGTGATCCCGTTGCCGGTCCCCGGTCCGGTGCGGGGGCAACACTGAGGGTTGCGATCCGTTGCCGGACACGGAAAAAGACAAAAAAATAAAAATAAAAATAAAAATAAAACCTTAAGGGATTTCTTTGTTTAAAAAAAAAAAAAGATAATATGAATCTTTCCATTAACTTTCTGAAGTACCCTCATATTCCTTCAGAGAGGCTTAAGAGCAGACTATATACCCTTAGCCCTGGGTATAGTATATTACTGGGGGTATAACGGAAAGCAAGGAGAGTTCCCTAACTTCTCTAGAACCTCCAAGAGCACTCAGTCAGAATGAGACTGAATAGAGTATTATCATAAAACCTTTTTTAACCAAAGAGAGGCAAAAGAGATGAAGCAATCCTCATTAGCATAGTGGTGAGAAGGAGGGAAAAGAGACGGCGCGAAAAGCACAAAAACATTCTTAAGACAGAAGTGCTGCTATTGCTTTGCCCCACTGAAGACAGCCTCCCCATCCTTGTCCAGGAGTGGGCATCACAATGCTCCTCTTCCCCTTACCATGTAGTATCCTGGAAGAAGTTTCTGCAGAAATTCTGCCTCTTTATGCTGGACTGTCTTAATGATGAATTCGTCATCACTGGACACATAGAAGAGGGAACCACTAGCTCCAGAGCTGCAGAGTTCAATCAGTGGCTCACTGCAAAGGGAGCACTGTGGCCAAGAGAGAAGAGTAAAAGATTCAGTCACCCAGAGCCTGCCCGACACAGAAATCAACAACAGATACAATTCTGTTTTAAAGAAAAACTAAAGCAAGACTGTGGAGAAAGAGGGTCTTCCTTCGGGAATACCCCTTTGATAATGTAGTCACAGGATCCTGAGATCCAGAAGCTTACCAAATAATCATCAGGCCGGATGCCAAATAGTTCCCGAAAGTAACGGAAGGCAACAGGTGCATAGGTCTTGAAACGGAAGTCGTTGTAGTGATGAGCAGGGGTCAGGTTGCTCCCTTCACTGTGGGGTTAAATAAATGAAGCTTTAACTTCCCAATCCCTGTCATTCAGGGAGTCCACCCTGTGAAGACACTCAGAGTTACCCAAAGGGAGGCTAATATATCCCTCCTGAGAGAACCAGAGGGATTAGATGAGTCAGTTACTTACTGGGACAAATGCTCAACATGTGGAGCAAGACATGGGCACAGGGAATCACACTGCTTCCTACCCAACGCATTAAGTTTTGGGGTTTTTTTTGGCATCACTTCACAGGCCAGAGGTTCATGGAAGCATTTAAAGAACAGCATCTACTCTCCAAACTCTCCAGTCCCACATCACTCTGATTACAACCAGATTAAGGATTAGACACATGCCTAAATTAGTCATACCTGAACCCCTGAAATTGCCCTAGGGTTGATTTGAAAAAGCCACATTTTCCAGGACATTCCCCTGAACATTAACCTCTTTACCTGGGGAAGAAGATACTCTCTACCACATAGAAGTCTTGCATGAGGACATCCCGCTCTGGTTTGGTACTCAGGCTCCCCACAGTGTGAGTAATGCCTAACTGGATGGCACCTTTCAAGGCTGATGAGGTTGTCTAAGGAACAGAAGAGAAATGAGAGGAAAGTTTCTAGTATTAAGTCTGACCATAGCAATAAAAACTCAGGAGGGAGGAGCTACAAGGAACACTTGAAAGTAAATGCTCTTCAGTATTTCTTTCTAAATTGGGGCAATCCAGTTTCCCCATCTCCATGCTTTATATTGTAATTAAGCCTGGCAAAGACTAGTAGCACAGTAGCATAGGTCCGACTGTCTGAGCCAGCCTCATCTAGACAAAGTGTTCCTTTCTATCAGCCTGCCTAAACAAGATTTCCATATCTGTATTTGGAAGACACACTGTATTGAGAGAACTATCTTGGGTCTCATTCCTAAGGTTCCTGCCTCTAACATATCTGGGGCTCTCCAAACATTTTATTCATCTGATATAAAATGTAACTAAAACTAACCAATATTCTGATTTGATTACCTGGCTACAGAAGCTTTAGTCCTCTAAGGGCCTGACTAGTACGTCAAGGACAACAGAGTGGCAAAAAGAGCTCCTAATCAAAGAAGAAAGCATGAAAGACTCAAATTATTTCCAAGAGAAGTATTGAGATGTAGAATCATCATACTATGGTCAAAACACGAATACAAGAGTCACACTTTTACAATCCAAGATTCCAATCCCCATGGGAAAATATTATAGCATCTACATCTGTGCTGTTCAATACAGTAGCTACCATAGCCACACATGGCTATTTAATTAATTTTAATTAACTTAAATTTATTTATTTATTTATTTTTTATTTATTTTTTTTTCTTTTTTAAAGATGACCGGTAAGGGGATCCTAACCCTTGACTTGGTGTTGTCAGCACCACGCTCACCCAGCGAGCCAACTGGCCATCCCTACATGGGATCCGAACCCGGGGCCTTGGTGCCATCAGCACCGCACTCTCCCGAGTGAGCCACGGGCCGGCCCTAATTAACTTAAATTTATATAAAAACTTCACTTCCTCAGTCTTACTACTCACAGTTTAAATGTGGCTAGAGCTTACCATATTAGATAGCACAGATATAGCAAATTTCAATCACTGTAGAAAATTCTACTGAACAACTTTGCTTTAAATTATTTCATCCCAATCCCCACCAGATATTACTTATACTTCTACCTAGTCTTCAGTGGACATTAAAATTATAACTAGTGCCGTAAGTGTTTACCTCCCCAACTAAACACTAGAAAAATCATCTAAACTAGAAAATCAACTAAACTAGAAAACCATCTTTTTATTTCAATGTGTAGGCCATAAAAAGAGCTCAATAAATGTCTGTTGAATTAACATGGGCCTCAGAGCCCAATCCAGAGACAGTCAGGTCCCTGACTGAGAATATAAATCAGTCTACCTGAGAAATATACAAAATACACGTGGGCCAGAAACAGCACTCCAAGAAATCTTCATGCTCTATATCAGACAAGGTACAGATGCTAAACGGGAGGTTGAAAACTATCCCTTGGGAAGTCTAAGTATCTCCAAATTAGTCCAGAACTGAAGAACTGGAATCACCCCAGGATCCAGGATGCTTCTCTCCTGTTTTCCCTTCACCAGTTCAATTTTCTCTCCTTGGCTATTACTACTACCTTTTTAGTTGCTATCCAGTGCTTTAAAAAGCAGGTGTTCCAAGCACTACTCACCAGCTGAAATTACAATTTTAAAAAAAGAAAGAACGAACTAGGAAAAAAAAAAGAAGAGAAAAGCATCCAACCTACTGCCTATCTCTGTAGCACCAGACTGGGATCTAGTCTTCACTTCACGTACATCCATCAATGAAGGAAAAACAGAAAAACTTCAAGAGACATAGTTCCCTGTGGCAAGGTAAGAATGGCCTTCAGAGCCTAGTTACATGTCTATACCTAGTAGGGAAACACAATTTCTTCTGCTCAGTAAAATAAAAACCAACACCAGATTTGTTCAATAAGAACATTCTCATTGAAACACACATATGCAGATAAGAGGCAAATTTACCCTTCGTGAAATAAATTCCAAAGTCCAAGTTGTTTGATGGCTATTGTGCAAAGGCTCAGGATACCAAGAAATGGGACAATATGTGGAGAATATATATCAAGAGAACAGTGCTGTCCCTGCTGAATTCCTTGAATAAGATGAGAGGGTTCCCAGACACACCTTTTTATATGCTGTCTCACCCAGACACACCTTTTTATATGTTGTCTCTCCTGAGGAATCAACACTTCTGTGGCCTATTTTCTTGATGGTCATGCCAGAGGCATAATGCACCTAGAAGAAGAGGACAAGTCAAGATTAGTATGTTTCCCATGTAATACACCAAACAGCTACTGTGATTGTACATCAAACCAAAACATCAACCACCCTTTCTAGATTGAAAGTATTTTATAAAATCTTCTGAAGACTCGCCCCATGCAAACACACAGCTAAAGTGTTGCTGCTTCCCAATGAATTATTTGGCTAAAAGATCATAGAAAAAAACTCCAAAGGCACATACATATTTCACTTCTGGTCCTTAGAAAGATGACATAGAAAATAAAAATGAGTTATCATTAAAGAAAAGTAGAAACAAGGGAAGTACAGAATAGCAACCCCAGAAAAGAGGATAAGCCTCAGTTCACAAAAGTGGGACAAATTAGAAGTAGAGTTCCACTTCTTTTCACCAGCTTCCTTTCAGAAATTACTACCCCTCTAACCCTCAACCCAACTTCAATGATATTTGTGCAAACTGAATTCAACAGCCGAAATGATCTAGCCACTGGCAAATTCAAGTAATTTTATAGTGCAGGAATTAAAAGGCTGAGGCAATAAGATGGCTTCTCTGAAACAGTGGCCTCAGTGCCTTGAAAGAGATTCATGAGAACATGATGACTTTGCTTTCCACCCACATAACCACTGAAATAAGGGAGGAGTACAACCAGTAGAGCAGAGTCTAAGAGGTTATTCCCAACAGCCAACATGCCAGCTCAACAGACATGAAGGTACTATTTGTGACATTAATACTCATTAAGTTAATCATCCAGAGGCAAAAAGACTAGTGGAAAGAGGAGGTCAAAAACTTAAGACCTGATACTCAAGTTCTACTCTTCTAGCCAAGGCCCTCAGTGCCAGAAAACCCTCAGTATATCACCTGACAGATCTTGGAAGATGTTCTGAGAGAAAAGCCTCAAGTCCCAGGCCAAAAGGGCCGGCATTCTGAGGCTCCTGTCACCAAATCCAGGAGAGAGGCAACAAGTGAAAAAGGGGTTGGAAAGTACTACATGGGAAGAAAGTTAAGCAAACTGAAGATATTCTGCACAGAAAAAAAGAAACTTGGGAAATTAAAACCATCTATGTGGTTAAAAGAAGTTATTCATATTCACTGAAGGTGTGTACCAGAAGGCAGTAACAGCAAAATAAGAGAGTGAGCTTTAGTATCAGACTGTCTGTTTTGAATCCCAGCCTTATTAATCCCACTTATTGTGTGACCTTGGGCAAGTTATAGAACCTCTAATCCTCACTTTCTTCATGTGTAAATCAAGGATAACAACAGTACTTGCCTCACTGGGGTTGTCTGCCAAATTAAATGAGAATATATATAAAGGACACTTAAGTATCTAAACTTTGGTACATTAAAACATGCTCAGTAAATATAAGATAGTGTTGATATTCATAATAAACTACAATAAAAGTAGTGCTGTATAATTTCTAGCCTACAAAAGAGATGTAAGAATTTTGTCTAGCTTCCAAAAACTAAGTAGGGAGAAAATAAAGATGTCATAAACATGGCTGTCCAGTGACCTCAGTTTGTTAGACTGTGGTGCTAATAACATCAAGGTCCAAAGTTCAATCCCTGTACCAGCCAGTCACCAAAAAAAAAAAAATGTCATAAACAGGTATCCTTCTATCCCAGAATTAAAGTTTTAGTAATCACTGCATCTATATGAAACTTACCTCAGATGCCAGCGGTCTCTTGATTCCAGATGGTGCTAAAAAAAATTAAATAAAATATAATCATAAGTGTGTACACACACATACAATCTCTATCAAGAACACTGAAAGAATCAAGGTTTGAGTCAAACTAAACATGAGGATGAGCTCCTGCCTGTTGCTCAGTGATACCAGATCCTTTTGGACAGCAATTTTAAACGTCTCTTCCTCCTTCTCCTTCATACTCACAGAGGCCTTTACATATTCCATTCTTGTTCTAGCCCCTTTTCATTCTCAAGTGTTCATATTTTCTCTAGGAAATATAACTGTTCTTAACATATTTAACCATCAGAGTCAGAGGATCTCATTTCATGCCACAGTTGAAAGAGAAAAAGGCACAAGATACCCAAGATTCACTGGACACACTGGGGTCTGAGTGATAATTTTTTCTTTTAGAGTTAAAAGGGTAAGAACTTTTAGAACATATCTATAGTGTTTTACTTCTGTATTAATTATTTCAGAAGAAAGGTAAAGAATTGGTCTATGGAAATGAGGTGGTTAAGAATGAGAAAAATACAATGTCAAAATAATGAAAAAGTTCTCAGTGCAGGCAGAAACTGATTCTGCATTCCTACATCCTCATTTTGATTTCTGCTGTAAACTCAACAAGAATTTGTTGATGTTTAAAACTTATGCATTAAATATTGATTCAGTGCAGATGTATAAAATAAGTTTGTGGTTAAACCTCACAAGTATTATTCATGACTTGTACCCATTTAAATTTAGGAAAGACTTCACGAACAAGTGTGTTTAGAAAGTGACTAAAAGACCATATCCAGAAGGCTGGCTGGGTAGCTCAGTTGGTTATAGTGTGGTGTTGTGAACACCAAGGTCAAGGGTTCAGATCCCCATACTAGCAAGCTGCCAAAAAGGGGGGGGGGGGCATATCCATAAAAACCCTATTCTAAAAGGTTAATCAGCTATATTAAAGAAAATTAAAAAGAGAAGTCCAAATGGGATGGATCTTCAATAATACGAGTTAATATCTGAACAGAAAGACCCCAGTCCACATAAGTATTAATGGTGAGGCAGTAACAGAGATACATGGGATTAAAGACAATTAGGTAGAGCTCTAATTATGATTACTTAAGACAGAAATGATCAAGGGCCCCCGAATTTCAGAAAACTAAGTACCAATAAGCAAAGTAGTACAATTTCCTTCCTCATAGGCAGGGTGGCAAAAAACAGGGAACAGATGGTTTTCACTGCTCTTCTCAAAAAAGGAGGCCAGAGAAATGTCATCTAGCTATTAGGAAGATGTGCCAAACAAAATGACCCAGGAAATTGGAAAAAACAGACCAATTTTCACTGCTCCTTCTCTCCAGAAGAACCCAATAATCTACACCTTTTCTAGGGTGATTAGTCTTCAATCAGTCAACTTCAGCTAGGTGAATGACTAAGTAAATTAGGACTGAAACCGTAAGTTAAAGCTTTCAAGGAACAATATGCCAGGAAATTCAGATTTATCATTAAAACTGATGACTTACTGCAGAATTTAAGGTGTCCACCAACAAAAATCAAACCACTTAAATCTTACAAACTTTTAGATGAGTCAAAATGCTGAGCTATTTGAAAATCAGAAGACCTGGGTCCATGTTACATCAGGCAAATTGTTCTCCATATTTAACTAACGAGGAACCTATATTAGGTTTAAGTAAAGATTAAATGAGATAAGCTAAATCAAAGTACTTTACGGACTGTAAAGGGCTAGACAAGTAAGTTTTTATATGTGATTTCTAATCCAAAAGCAAAGTTGGACCCACAGGAAGGTTTAATGTGCAATTACCTAAACCTTCATGAAACTCTAATTCACATCTCAAAGTACTTGGCTCCTCCCAAACCCCTCACCCACTCTGCCTTCCAACATACCCACATGTATGGACACTAGAAACTATAGAATCGGTGTTTCTCAATGAGGAAATCAGTATGATTTCAGTTGAGAAGACAAACATTGATTCTGGACTCCTTGGCCTATTCTCTCCACTCACCCCAGAGGAAGAGGTTTGGAGAACCCCTGGCAGAATCAAGAAGGGCCAGCATCCAGTCCTGGTCCGGCAGTATCACCTAGAAAATAAGCTCCTCTGTATGCAAAAAGTCACTGCACAAGGATAAACAATGCAAAGAAAAGGAGCTAAGTGATTTGAAGGCAGAAGAGTGGGTTTGGGGCTTGATTACCTCCTATTAAGTTCTACTTTGCTACCTTTCCTAGTTTCATCCCACAAACATATAGCTCTAGGGATGCTACACTCTTGCAAAGTACCTAATGAAGATGGGAAGACTTCACTCAATGGAATTTTGGTGTTAAGTGCTTAGCTATGTGCAACTGCAAAGTTGGGATTAATCCCAAAAGCACTATAGCTGAAGCAGGAAGAAATAATACTCAGACCAAGTGACACAGGCAGGAAAATAAGGACACAAGATGTCCTCTCTTCTTTGCTTGAGGTTTTGCCCCCAGGGCACAAATTAGAGATCAACTGTACCAAAAAAAGGAAGGGAAAAGAAAGATACCTAGAGAATTTTACCAATGTTGGTGTAACACCAGCTTAGTCCAGAAACCCGATGAAGAGCAATGTAACAGTACAAGGAACCAGATACTATCTGCTAACGCTTGACCACTTGGCCCAAGGCTCTGCCAATGAGAAACCTGTCTATTGAGGAAGTCCATGAAACTGAAGAGTCACCAGCACTGCACCTGTCCACCTCATAATCAAGCCTTCTCTTCTATAACTACAGGAAGAGGAGAAGGAGCAGGGGGACAAAGAAGGGAGAGAGGAGAGGAGAAGGACAAGTGAAAGAAAAAAAAGGAAAAGAAAACCAATTCAGCATGGCAATAATCAGCTTGGTAAGGCCGATAATTTTTAAGGACAGTAAGATTCATGCCTATGGATAAGACCAGAATATTGTTCAACAGAAAAATTGTTTTCTATGGGCCGGCCCGTGGCTCACTCGGGAGAGTGCGGTGCTGATAACACCAAGGCCCCGGGTTCGGATCCTAAAAAAAAAAAAAAAAAAAAAGAAAAATTGTTTTCTAGCATTTTTGTGAAAAATATTGTTAAGTATATATTATCATCTTATAATCCATATCCATGATTCATTATCGGGTGGGAAAACTGAGTATAGAGCAGAGTTCCAACATTAGAATGTATTCTTCTTTAGATGAAAAACTTTATTCCAAGGATTCAAGGACCTGCCTCTTCGCATCTAAGCCAATGTTCTGAAGGATCATTATTCAGACGTCTACATTATCATCAGTACACACTTGGAAATGTGGTATGTGCTACAAGAGAGGAGAGCACAT